TTGTCTTATCCACGAGAAGGATCTTATCCACGAGAAGGATATCATCAGCAAAAAGCATACACCAAGATAGATGCTCCTGCAAGTGTCCTGTAAGACCATCCATAACTAAAGCAAAATGATTTGGGCTTAAGCTGATCCTTGATGTAAACCAACAGAACTAGGAAAATATTTGGTCAAACATCCTTCAATTCAAACACAAGTAACAACTCTTGTATGCATATCTTTAATGACTTTAATTTAAGTCATACCACCTTTTCTCTCAAGAACTCTCCAAAGGATATCTCTTAGAACCTATCATAAGTTTTTTCTAAATCAATAAAAATCATATGTAGATCCTCTATATTATCTCTGGAGTTCTCCATCAAACATTTTAATAAATTTATAGCTTCTATATTAGACCTGCCAGACATAAATCAAAATTGATTATGATAAATCTTTGTAATACGTTTTAATTTATGTTCAGTTACCCTCTCCTATAATTTTAAAGCATGACACATCTACTTAATTGCTCTAGAGTTTGCACACTTTTGTGATTCCCCTTTATTCTTAAAAATGGGACCAAAATACTCTTCCTCCACTGCTCGGGCATCTTTTTAGTTTTTAAAATAATATTAAAGACTTTAGTAAGTCAAGGAACTCTAAAATCTTCTAAATATTTCCAAACTTCAATTGGGATACCATGAGGTCCTAGAAACTTTCTATCATTGGTTTTCTTTAAAGCCTCATCAACTTCTTTATTAATAATCCGATGGTAAAAATGAAACATTTTATTATTATTAAAAATATTAAGATCGTTAAGGTCGATCATATTTTCCTAAACTTTATTAAAAAGTTTATCAAAACAACTCACTCACCTATTTTGAGTATTTTTTTTAAGAAAAATACTTTTTGATTTTCATTTTTAATACACTTTACTTTAGTTAAATCTTAATTTTTCTTTTCTCTTTGTTTGGCTAGTTTATACATATATTTTTCACCCTCTTTAGTATCTAATTTATTATAAATATCACTGAATGCAAAATTTTTAGCGTCATAGTTTGTTCTCTTAGACTCTCTACGGGTCGTTTGATATTTTTCTCAGTTCTAAGCTTTTACTTTTAGACCATTTTTTATAATATAACTTCTTATATTTTATCGTTTCTTGCACATTATTATTTCACTACAAACTATTTTTATTTATAAAAACTTTATTTTAATTCTTCAAGTACAAATTTTGACACTCATTTAATAGTGTTTGTTACTTTATCCCACATAGAATTTGCTTCTTCATGAACATCGCAATTTTTGAAATATTGAATTTTATTAATAAAAATAATTTTATTTGTGTCTTTTAGGTATCCCCATCTGATTCTACGATGATGATTCATAGTATTCCTTATTTTGCAACTCTTCATCTTAAAATCTATAACTAATAATCGATGTTGAGTACTTAAATCTTTACTTGGAATGACCTTACAATCTTTACATTCTCGACAATCTATTCTTCTCATAAGAGAATAATCGATTTATATTTTATTAGATCCATTCTTATAAGTAATAATATGCTTATTTTTTTTCTTGAATAAAGTATTATCAATAACAAAAACATACGCTAAAACAAAATCTACAGTAGCTCTATCTTCTTCATTAAGCACTTCAAAACTGTAGCCATCATGAATATTTTTAAAATCTTCTACCACTTTACCAACGTGCCCATTTAAATCACCTCCAATAAAAATTCTTTCTTCAAGAGGTATTATTTGTATTAAGTCTTCTAAGTCATTCCTAAATTTATCTATAGAACCTATATCTAAACCTACTTGAGAAGCATAAACACTTATAATATTAAAAATCTTAGTATCAATAATAATCTTAAGAGCTATAATTTTATCTCTAATTCTATTAATTTTTACAACATTTTCTTTCATACTCTTATCTATAATTGCACCTACAGCATTTCTAGTGCGACATCTGAATACTGAAGATTAAAACCTAAATTATCAATCTCCTTAGTCTTTTTTCCAACCCATTTAGTTTCTTGAGCACAAGATATTTATCTTTCTATGATTCATAATATCAACTAGTTCCATTAATTTACTAGTGAGAGCGTCTATATTCCAAGATCCTATCCTAATATTAGTTTCATGAACTAACTTCTTTATTCGTATCCGTCCGTAATGTGAGAACCCTTGCTTATCTGACACTATATTCTAAAGCCAGTGTAGCGGCACTCCCACACTTTCCATTGTATTCAAACCATACAGCTGGTCACTTCTAAGGGACACCCTAACACTTAAACAATGATCAAAAGGATTTATGTTATGATTTTTTCGACAATTTTTATGTTGGTTGTCGACTACCTAACGCAACTCACTCACTTTTCATATCTGGGCTTGAGATCGGCAATAACAGTGTTCATGAAATTTAAATTCTTAAAAACACAAATATTTCTAAAACAATCAAAGTAAACTGAAGAATATATTAGACATGATATTGTTGCGTTAAAGATTTTAATTCCTTAAGTAAATTGAACTTGAGAGACTATGAAACATTGAAGCACATAAAAAAACAAATCAAGTTCGTATGGAAAGGCTCCTTCACTATCATTTTGGTCTCCCTTTTCTACCTCTCTCCATTAGATAATGGAGGGGGATTAGAATGAATATGAGGCTCCATCAAGAACTTTATCAAATTACTTTTCAAGTTCCCTTCCTTCTTAGAGTTTCTCTACATTTTCCCTTTTCTTTCTCTTAGAAAGTTATTCTTATATAAACAAATGAAGACTAGAATATATGAAGTTGAGGCTTCTTTAATCTCTATGACATTCTCCAGATTTGTTCTGATCCTCCTTTCTAGGTTGCAAAACCTTGATAAAAAGTCTATTGTTACCCGAATTTTGTGGTTAATCATTTTCTTTCTCTGCACAACGGACATAAGTCACAGATCATGAAATATGTTAACATTCTAATCGGTAATATCAGGAGTAAATGAAAATCTTTGGTTAACACAACAACGAAAAA